CACAGCATTAAACAGTATATTAAAAAAACACAGGCAGTATAAATGGCAATATTTTATATAACTGTAAATTTGAAAGATTTTGGAAAGATTATTTTGAAAAGATTTTTAAATACATATTAATTGAAAACTGGGTTGTATGATAGAAATGTGTGCATGATGAGCTTTATGTAATATTATTTTTTCTCTCTTTCTGACAGCTGTAATGTAAATAGTGTGATTATCAGAAACACAAATGTAGAAATATTTGTGTATATTATCACCATAAAATTGAAACTATCACCTAACCAACTGATATGTATGAACCATATATAAGCCTATATTTTTACTTTCAAGGTTGTATAACAATACAATATCAATTAAGACGGAATGTTTCTACTTAGTTTGTCTGTACTATCTTATGGTTATAATGAGTGAAAATCTTTCAAATGTACTAGTGCACTGTAAAAAAATATATAATAAAATAATCATTTTACAGTAGTTTTATTACGAGTATATGAAAACAAGTGAGCGAATTCAGACAGACAAACTCTTGTTTCAATAAAACATTAACATCTAAACCTCTGTAACTTCTCGATAAGAATTTCTGAAGACGTATGAAAGAAATCAAGTCAAATTGGTTTGTAAGTGAAATGCTGTTTGTGGAGTTGTTTATTCATCTTCTGCTGAGATCTTGAGACTTGTAACCTGAGGGTCATGTGTTCGATTCTCAGTACCGGCACACAGGAATTGTAAGACGAGGAAGTGAATGACCAGCACTCTCTTCCACCTTCAATATCCATAACTGAGGTAACCTTGAGCAAGGCACCAAATCCCTAACTGCTTCCCAGGCGTCACAGCAAAAAATGTCTGTCCTCCAGGTGTTTGCATATGTGTATGTATGGACTTCAATGCAGAGCACAAATTCCAAGTATGGGTTACCTTTTTCGAGAACCAAATTAGCTCCTACTCTGGAGCAGTCGATCGGTTCCTAGTACACACTCTCGGTGCGAATGCAACCCTTTAAATG